TTGAACGACGGCTGCCGAGGGGAGGGGGTTTGTGTGTTGTAGGCAGCTCGAGGCAGCCGGTAAGGCAGGGCACACTGACACACAGACACGCGCAAAGCCGGTTTTCCCTTTTTTGCCTCGGCCTGCGCGAATTCGTTTTGATAATTTTTGGTGCGTCCCTCCCCCTCCCCCTTCCCCGTCCCCTCCCACCCCGCTGCGGCTCCTCACGCGAGGCGGGCTGGCGGTGGCGTGGCCGTGGCCGAGGAGGCCCGGCTGCTAACATTGAACTTGAAACTCCTCCCCGACCACTTTCCTCGGCGGGCAGCACGGCAGGCAGCATGGCAGGCAGCATGGCAGGCCAGCACGAGGACCTCCTCCTCCTCCTCCTCCTCCTCCTGCCCCCGGTACCCGCCATGACCATGACGTAATCCCCACATCGACCGGGGTCCGCAGGCCTGCCTCTGCCACACCGCGGCCCGGCGACGCGTCTCGGCGGCGCTGTGCCCTGGCCGCCCTGGCCGTGCCACGCCAGGCCAGGCCGCTAGAGCCGCGCGGCCTAGTAGCCTAGGTTAGGGACGCCTAGACCTAGAGAACCGAGGCGCCGCCACCGCGGTTCACATCCTACGCTCGGAGGACTCGGCGGAGGGTAGGCTGCTGGTTCCGGACGGTGGTTTCACCGCTCTGTCTCTGTCGCACCCCCTGCGGGAGTGCGAGACAGTCAGACTCGTTCGGAATAAGTCTGAAAAGCCCGAGTGAAGCGGCGAGCGCGGAGGGACCCCAAGGCACGCGCCAATAACAAAGGCGGTTCGAATTACGGTGGACGTCATGCCACCAGCAGCTCGCTCTGTCTTCGTCGCACTCGCGGGGTGCCGCGTAGCGCCGCGCAGGGTGCGAGAGAGGCAGAGCGACGAGGAATTCAGCACATCAGCCTTCAGCGAGTTTCGCAAGCTGCCTAAATTACTGGCCGTGCTTTCAGAAAATTCCTTTACTTTGTTATTTAGAAGGGGAGGGCATAATGGCGTTCAGCACACGCTGCCTCCCCTTGCGGGCCTCTCTCTCGCACTCGTGGGGCGTCCCGCACGGGAGCGAGAGAGACTGACGTTTGGAAGCAGCCGGCTGTGCGGTGCACTCTTGGGCCCCAGTAACAGGCCGACTGCTCGCCCTCCAATGGGACCTCAAATCGCAAGTCAGTTCGAGAGTATCGAACGAGACGGAGCACCCTCCAGACTGCAGTGACTGACTGACTGTCCGTTTGATGAACACATCGACTCGGGGGCCAAAGGTTCGACGGCAAGGTACTCGCCGAGCGCGCAGCCGCGCTGTGCAACAATGATGTCAGCCACTTTGTTTCGCGGTCTCTGTGTACTTAAGCCCCGGCCGGCTATCTGGGTCGAAATGTTATCAAAGCCGCGAGGCGCCAATCTTCGCGGTCCTCGCCGCCGAAACGCCGAAGCGCGCGCCGTGCAACGAAAATACGAAAATCGCCGCCCACCGCGTTGCTTCGCGCTGCTTCGCGTGCCAAAGACTGCGGGGAACTATTTTAAAATTAAGTCAGCGGGTCAGCAGCCTCGGAGCGATGCGGTGCCTTGGCACGCGGTGGCAAGTCTCCGTCATTTCGGACAGGAATCGCGTGGATTTCGAGTGTCGCGGTGGTCGCGCTGGTCGCGCCCTTAGTGCCGGTCGCGAGCAAACGTTTGGACTCGATTGAAGTAAATACGTGCAGGTCGGTCGGGCGGGCTAAACCGGGCTTGTATTGATTCAAGGAACGCCATCCACGACAGTCCGTTTTTTGTCATTGTTGTTTTTGCCCATATCACGCGGCATTGCCAGCGGGGTGATTCACTGACGCCCGGGCTGTGCTCTGTCTCTCTCGCACTCGCGGGGTGCGCTGCGGAGGGGCGCGAGAGAGCCTCTGGCAGCCTCTGGCCATGGAGCAGAAAATAAGCGAAGGCCCTTATTCTCTCGGCGGAGGCGGAGCGACGCCGCCAGCAACGACCGCAAAAAGAGCCAGACTATCAAATTCGAATTCGGCAGCCTCGTTCCTTACGTGTTATAATGACGGCTCGCTGTTCTCGACATGAAATAACCACGATAAGGTTTCGCCTTCTCTGGTTCGTATCTCTCGTGCTCGGCCCCGCCGCGGCCAGGCCCCCGTCCCAGGTGGCTCAGGTACAGCCCCGAGCCCCAAGCCCCCTCCCTGCGCCACGGCCGCCACGGCCGCCACGGCCGCCAGGGCGGGCAGCCCGGCGGAGGCGTCGCCCTCTCGCCCTGTTTGACCTTGCGATAAGCGACGCCCCCGCGCCCCAGCCCCCCTCCCCCGCGCCTTGCCGCGTAATGCTCCCCCCCCCCTCCCCGAAGCCCCCCTCGCCGTGCGTCCCATATAATTTGGACGGCAGTGTACAGTGGGCCCGGCGTGCGTAGCCTCCCCCTCCCCCCTCGCCCCACGATCGACATCCGAATTGCCAGAATCGGCGAATTGAAATAATTGCCTTGATTGTATTTCGTGAAGACAGCGGGCTGGAGCGTGCGGCAGGGGGGCAAAAGCCGGCCCCCTCCCCTTCCCGTCGCACCGGCCTCCGCCGAAGCTCGAAGCTCCCTAGCAACCGCCGCCGCCACCCCTAGCGCCCCTAGCGGGCTCTGCCTGGCTCTGCCGCTCCCCCCCCTCCCCCCTCCCCCCACCACAGCGGCGAATGGAAATTCGTCGTCCGGCCTTGAACCTGAACAATTTGGCAGCGGCAGACCGGGCAGACAGGCCTCGTGTCGGCCACAGGCGTGCAGGGTGGAAAAAGGGGGGGGGGGCTAGGCCTGTGGGGCTGTAGGCTGCCATGAGGCTGCTGCCCCCCCCCCCCCGCTTTCCCGAGTTCAGGGTGAAGTAGTGGAAGGTTACGGTCAGGGCCAAAGGCCTCGCCGAGCCTCGCGCCGAGCCGCTTGTGGGGAGGGAGCTCACTGCAGACTGATTCCGAACACCGCGCTCTCATCGCACTGTCTGTCTCTCTCGCGCCCGTACGGGACGCTCCATGAGTGCGAGAGAGACAGAGCGACGACAGCCTTGTTGGTGCAAGGGGAGGTGGCAGCTTCTTCCTGGCGCTACTCATCCTGAGGGGACGCGTGGCCGGGTTCTCACGAGTGGAGAGACCACTGGAACCACGCTTTGTGGGCACTACAGTGTGCGGGGAGGTCTGGCCGCCCCACTCCGCCGGTCTATGCCGCTCTGTTAGTCTAGCCGCAGAGGGGACGGGCGGCTGTTTTGTGCGGCTAGAGCGGCCAGACCGTGCCGCAGTGCAGTGGAGTGGAGCGTGTTGCCTAGGCCCGGCCGCAAGGCGCTCCAAGACGCCCTGCTGCTGTAGGCCGACGCGGGGCGCGATGCGACGCGTTGGTCGCCGTTGGCGGGATGTGACTACAGCGATGCCCCGGGCCAAACCATTGCTGACGTGCGAGCCAGGCATTAGGAGAGGAGAAACCTCCACTCAACACAGTGAAAATGATTTCAAACTGTGCGTTCGTCCCTCCCCTCCGTCACTCTCGCACGCGCGGGCCGTCCCGGAGTGGAGCGAGAGAGACAGAGCGACGGCCGGCAGTTCGGAAGCAGCGTGGTGGTGCCGCCAAAACAGAGCAGCAGGCGAAGCAGGCCGCGCCTGTCCTTTACCTATCCCAACTCTAGCCTCCGCGAGCCCCGCCAGCCACGCCAGCCACGCCAGCCACGCCACTGCGAGCACGAGGCGGCCAGGCCCAGCCCAGCCCGCCAGTCGTCTCGTCTCGTCGCCCTGTCTCTCTCTGTCCCCATGAGTGCGACGGAGGGACGGAGACGGCGCGACGAGTGAGACGACTCTTCGGAATCAGTCTGCAGGCGCAGTGCGGGACGGCGACGGCGGCTCCGAATCGGATGGCTCTCTTCGGCGATAGCTGACCTTGGGGCCGCGTCGCGTCGCGTCGCGAGGCGGGCGCGCACCGCACGGCTGGGGGCTGGTTCCGAGTTCCGAACAGTCTCTCCCTCTCGTTCGACGTCGTTTCTTCGGGGTGCGAGAGAGAGAGACGGAGCGATGCAGCACTTCGCAATCAGACTACAGGCCGGCCGCGAGGAGGCTCTGCTCGATAGGGATCGCGTCGTATCGCGTCCACCGCAAAGCGGGCAAACGCACAGCCGGGGACCCAAATTCGTTACGTGGAATACTTCGATAAGGCCGTCCAACATTCACGTAACGGCAGTGATGACGCCGAAGGAGCACTCGGTGGCCTCCGCCACGGCCTCTGCTATCATCGTAACCTGTGGTGGCCGCCCTGGCCTCGGAAGCCTCGGCTTGCGTCCACGTCGCGGCCGTGGATGCCGTCATGATGCCGCGCGCAGCGGCGCAGCGCGCACTCGTTGAGATGTTTTGTAACGCGGATGGCGGGGCGAGGCCGGGCGAGGCCCAGTAGCAGACCGATGCCGCAGAGTCGTTTCGCCGCTCTGTCTCTGTCGCACCCATGGGGCTTGTCGTTAGGGTGCGAGAGAGACGGGGCGACGAAACGATTATGCGGAATCGCCCGGCAGCAGCGCGGGGGCCGTGGGGGCCGCGGGGCGTTTGCGAGGCGTCTCTCTGGGGCTCCCCGGGGGGCAGTAGGGGTCGTCGACGGGTGGTGTGTCGATGCACAGAGACGTGCATTCCAATCTGTGGATGTTTCATGTCAGTTTTATTTGGTTCGACAGTATCGCTCTAGGAGGGCCTCGATTAAAAATGCGGGAAAATGCAGAAACTGGAACTCCGATCCCCAACGGTGGCGAGCTTATGACGTGACTGAGCCACTCCACACGCCCTAAGGCCAGGAAAACCAGAAAACCGTGCCCCGACGGGCGCAGTGGGCAGCTCACATTCGTGCAGTCGCAAAAAAAAAAAAAAAAAACAACTCCCCCAGCCATAAAAAATATTTTTGACAATAAATTTATTTTGATTTTATTTAAAATTTGGTCGCACTTTGAGAATGCATACAAAATTACCTGAAATAAAATTCCTAAACGGTCGTGCACTTTTCGTTTGCTTCAGGTGCCAATGATGCCCGGCGACAACTCCGTGCTGGCCCCCCACATCAAGAAGGAGGTGGAGCCCAACACGTTCCAGGCGTGCAGTCCCTCCAACAGCGAAATGTACTCGCCGACCACGACAGTCCTGCCCCAGGAGGTAGATTTTGGGTTTTGGCTGCGAGAATGATCACGCTTGCCGAGGAAGTTTGGTTGCGAACAGCGCGGTACAGCGAAGTAGCGATCGGGCACTCGCATTACCCCGCGCACTAGCATTTAGCTTCTTTCTCTGTGGCGGATCTATTCCACTATCCAGATAGTTTCTGTGTGGTTTATTCCTCTTGACAATTATAATTTTAGTTCACTCAACAAAGGATTGTGCCGTAAAACTTAAAAAATATATGTTTCTCGGCATTCCCTGGCCGCAAATGAAGCGGGCACCGCCAGCCACGAAACATATCTCTCCCCATCTATTCCTGTGGTTTTTTCAGCTGCTTTTTACTCGAAGCCTCGTTAATGATATGTTTACTTTTTGATTTATTTTAAACTATAACGAACTAATCATGTCGAAAATGAAGCGTTCTTGTGACCCCTACAAACTTGAAATTAAGGTGATGAAAACAAACTGCGATATATCTTCTGATATTTTCCCTTTTCTTTGAATTTACAATAATGTTTGTTAGGTGTCGTCTGCTAGTGGTTAAATAACATGTGTTGTCCTTAGGTCTTCTGTTCAAATCCGCTTTTCCCCTTGTATTTGTAGTTCTCATCTAAATTTAAATAACTACATTCTGTCGGGATACTAACGTGTCACTACATACTGTTTCCCCGTTGAGGTTAGGTTCCGTGCTTTAGTTGGTTCACACTCTTGTAACAATATGATTTCATCAAAATCTTCAAGGCCTTATTGAAAAACTACCTCCACTTATCAAATTTATTCTATCTTTTCTTAGTGACACGCTGTATTCTCAATTTTATCTTCTTGTTGCAGCATTGCAACTACTTTGCAGCGTTTAACAAACTGTTTTAACTCTGCCATTGATGTTTCTTACGCCTTCTGGTTCTGATTCTAATTTTCCTCAGTCATTTTAATCTTGGCAATAACTTATTTTCATTAGGACTTAATCTTTACAATATGTTCCATTTAATACCTCCAATGCGAGTGAAAAAAATACTTTGTGTTGAATTACTATCTTAAAATCAATAGCAGTAACTGAATCCTTTCAAGTGAAAAATTACTCACCTTCGATCAGTGATTAATATTGAATTATTCTTTTTCAGATGGAGTATTGCGAAAGTCAAGAATCACAGAGGTACGAAGTTTCCCAATCTCACTCCCCAGGCAGTCCTGATCAACAGTTTTGTTCCTCAACAACACAGTCTATTGGTGAATCAATGCTAGGTCACATTGAGGTAAAATCAATTCCAGAATTGAAAAAATTAATTAATATCTAAAATTTTGTCGTTGAATTATTTCTAATTTTATGTAATTTTATGTTTGATCTTATAGGAAGGTATGAAGGAGGAAGATGTTCCCCGCCGCCTGTGCCTTGTTTGTGGGGATGTTGCCTCGGGATTTCACTATGGTGTAGCTTCTTGTGAGGCTTGCAAAGCATTTTTCAAGAGAACTATTCAAGGTTATTGTGGCATAAGTATTACATTTTACTTTACGAACAATTTATTCACAAAATTAACAATATAATTATTATCTTATACAGTAGTATCAAAGATGTATGTGGATTTTTCAGGGAACATTGAATACACCTGCCCAGCAGCCAATGACTGTGAAATCAACAAAAGGCGCCGTAAGGCATGTCAGGCTTGCCGCTTTCAGAAGTGTTTGCGAATGGGCATGCTTAAAGAAGGTGTCCGACTGGATCGGGTTCGTGGTGGGCGCCAAAAGTATCGCCGTAATCTTGACATACCCTATCAGGTGCCAGCTCATGTGCCAGCGAAGCCCACTCCCACTTTGCAGGGTTGGTCTTTCACAACTGTTTATTTCTATTTCTATTATTTAAAATTTGCCTCTTGAAACTATAAAATAGATATTTCTTCCACATTGTCCACATTTTCTTGTTATTTCCCAACAGAGAATAAAATGCTTGAGGCCCTCGCAGCGTGCGAGCCAGATCCTCTGATGGTGTCACCCGAGCCCCGTCAGAGCGGCGTCAACCCAGAAACTCGAACATTGAGCATGCTCAGTGACTTGTATGATCGAGAACTAGTCAACATTATTAGCTGGGCAAAGTTGATTCCAGGTAAATTTTTTCACAAAATTAGAGCCTAGGAATGTTTTATTAAATTCTATGCTAAGAGTGTTGTGTTTAGCAATGTCTTATTATTTTGATTTTCTTCTTGCAGGTTTCCTGGAGTTACCCCTTAATGATCAAATGAGGTTGCTTCAGAGCACCTGGGCTGAAATTTTGACATTGACACTATCTTTCCGGTCTTTGCCGAGCACAGGGACACTTCGATTTGCTGATGACTTCACACTAGATGAGAAGCAAGCAAGGGATTGTGGTGCACTTGAGTTGTATCAACAGGTGAAGTATTTTCAAATATTTTCTTAAATACAACTTGTGTTTTGTGGAAGCAATGTGCTCATTCTTTGTCTCCCATCTAGTGCACTCAAATTGTGGAACGCTTGGAGAGGCTATCAATTGCCAAAGAAGAGTACTTTTTGCTGAAAGCACTGGTTCTGGCCAATTCAGATGTGCGGCTGGATCAATTCAATGTTCTCAAGAAGTTCAGAGACACTATTCTTTCAGCCCTTGCAGATTGTGTACTTGTTGTCAGGTGAGTTTCGTTGACTCATTCACTTCTGTTTCCTTCAGTTTTAAGTCTTATCACAAACAAAATCTTTTCTTTCAGACCAAACAACTCTATGTACCATCTTCAACACCTGCTTCTTTGCCTACCATGTTTGAGACAAGCTGACACAGCAGTACGCCGCTACTGGAGTGGTATTCATCGAGAAAACAAAGTCCCTATGAATAAGCTTTTTGTTGAAATGTTGGAAGCATGTGTACGATAATAAGTTTGTGAAGTGGCCTAACTCATAATTGGTCCAGTACTTATTGCACTGCTAATTTTCGTAGTCTTACATAGCTGTGTGAATGTCAGCTATTTTCACTTCTATGTGTGAATATTGCTGTCTGCAAGAAAATTGATATGTCATGTTTCCAGCATATGTATCATGCAGTTCACTGTAGTGAACTTACACAAAGATTTTTCTTTGCACTGAAGCATAGACATGAACTTGAAGTGCAATTTTTCAACCTATGCTGTAATCAGATTGTAATTAGCCTTTGAGTTAACTGTCTTTGCTATAAAGACTAAATGCAAGAGTCATGTCATATGTAGATTGAAAGAGTATCTACCAGAAAGCACTAACCATTAATGTGTAGCGCATACTAACTTCATGTGATATTGCTTCTAGCTCTATGTACTAGGTATCATCAGATCTTAATAGCTGTGAATGAATTATTTGCGTTGACTGTGCAGGAAAGCTCAGCTTTGCCTGTGTCGTGGTCTCAGGGAAGGGGGCATCAAATGTGTGTGCTATACCACCTAGCTCATGGTTTTTTTTGTCAATTTGGTATTGAATGTACACTTACAATAGTAATAATTGTTGCTTTTTACTGCATCAAAACAAAAGATGATATGCAGTTTAAGATCAAAATTTTAGTTTAAAACCTGTTTTTGAAATTTTTTAAGAAGATATTACTTAGTGAGTCAACTGCCATCTGAATGTGTTCTGTAACACATTACTGCCAAATTTATGAAGTGGGTGATTTTCGTGTGTGCTGGACTTTTTCCTGTGTTTATCTTATCAATGGACAGCCAAAGCCCATTGACTTTGGTGCCCCCAAATTCTATTTCTGTATTGAAAATATAATAAATAATTTATATTGGTTGACATGAGGGAAATATGAATTGGATCTTAGTCATTAGGGACTGTGCAGCCTGCTTTCAGGGAGCACATGTGTATCTTTTGTATGCGGGAATGAATTTATCTTAAGAAACAAGCAAGAATACACATCCCTTTACTAAGCACATATTTTTAAAAATGCTTTGAAATGAACTGACGTAAATTCAAATTTTGAGCGTGTATGCCTTGCTATAGAAAATAGATACCTTTATTTTGTCTCACAGTGAGAGTATCATAAGCAATAAGTGCACACATTGCTTCATTATTTAAAAGTTATCATGGTTATTTGACTATGAAGTTTTATCAAACAATGTGAAAGGAATTTCAATCACATCCTCTTAGAAGTGAAGTGTTCTGCTGAAGCTTCTAATCCCATGAATGCTCTTCTATGGCAGCACATGTGTTCCTCCACTGTTTGATGATTATCAGCATCAGCTTTCAGCCTCTAAGTGGAAGTCTCATGGCTCATATTTTTCTCTTCCAATTTTTTTAAATTAACAAATCTAAGCAGCAGAAAATCCCTTACCTGTTATGAGCTCTGTTATCATCATGAGCGTTTTTATGAGAGACCTTTAATTATTTTTTACCCCTCAGTAATTAAAAGAGTCACATTTTGTATTAGAAGAAACATATTTTTTGTAAGAACATATCATGTGAAAGGATTGGATTTTGGTGTAGGTGATTGGTTGTTTGTTGTCTGTGAGTGTTGTGTGCCAAATGTGGTGGGACAAGTTTGATAGTGAAAATACTCTGCCGCTTGTGATTGATTGAAAGAGTATTTATTCGATTACAGTACAAAGATCAGAAGAGCGCCTTCCTAGCTAATGTAAGGTTTTTGAAAGTTTGTGATTGGATTTCAATTGTAGTCCTGAGAAATATTTTGAATGTGCCTTCACAAAGGGAATCTTAACAAAATTTAAATACCTCATAAATTCTTTTAAATTATTTCTGTACATTATTACTATGTAACCTTGCTTTGATAGAGTTGTAGCAACTTTCCTGTAGTCATACTGATGTAGTACAAATGCTTTGTTTTTTCTTTGATCTGGAGCTTTGCTTTCCAGTGTCTCTATGAATCCCAAATACGTGACTATTTTCATCAGAACCACGTGTCTGTTAGTTCATGTAGGTAATACATAATTCATGCAAAGTCTATATGAAGCCTATACAAAGAGTATTCAGCCACTCGTGTGATTTTTGAAAAATAATTTGTACATTCTTTTATCATTAAAAACGTTCAGTAAAGGCTGTAGGGCATCTCGTTGTTACTTTAAAAATTGTTTCTTTTGTTTTCTTTTCATTCTTTCAGATATATTTTCTTTGGTTGTCTGTTTCAGTCATCTTTGAATTTTATGTGTGCTGTCATTTGCTTTATGCTGCAAATTCATACTATATAATACGTGTATTAGATCAATGTATATATGAAATTAAAAACTTTGTTATTTACGTAATGAATGTGCTACAGTGCATACCTTGTATGCGCTGTGCATATGAACAGTTTGTAGCTAAACAATTAATTGCTCTAAAATTAGACCTTTCATTTTGCAAGGAAGGGTTCGATTTTATAGTGGATGTATCCATTTGTTTAGCAATCTTGTTGATTGTGTTTTGTGTTTTATCTCTCGCCCCCCTTCTATTTTTGAAGATTGTTAATAGTGTAAATAATCATTTGTAATTTGTAACTTCCCTTACCAAGTTCTGTGAAATGTTCAAACGATTAATTTTTGAGAATTTGTTTCCTTTGTTTACAGTGGTGAAAAATGATTGTATGAACAACCACTGAGTGAAAATCATAAAGCAGCTGAAAGTGGCTCATTGTTTTAATTTGATTATCATTTATGCACTCAAATCTGTGATCTCTATCTCTTGATATGTTATTCACAGAACTTAGGTAAAATGATGTGATAGAGCATTTTAGGAACTTACTTTCGTTCACCTCAATGATACAAAAGTCTAGCCCAAAGTTTTCTTCTTCTTTTTTTAAAAAATTTTTGAATTAGTTGCTGTGAATATTTCTGTTATTAATGACTTAGTTCTGAGAATTAGATCCCCTTTACCGTTTATGTTAATATTAGTGTTTGTAGATACCTCTGGCCATATCTACAATAAGGTTTATTTAATTCTTAAACATAATTATTGAGTGCACAAATATAAGAAATCATGCTATGTAGTTAAAAATTTGTACAACTCTCCTCTTGTTATCTAGTATTTGTTATTGAATGGAGAGTTATTGAGTCCTTAAGTGAAACAATGTATTTGTTGATTGTGGTAAGTGGCATTTACCCATGTGTGTGGCTAGCTGTGTGTATTGGTATGAATGTACCTGAGCTCTGTGTATACGTATAAATATCGAGCAAGATTGTGAGTAGGCAACGTTTGTCGAGTACATGTGTGTTATTGCGAATGGTCAAAGTTAAATTCAGCTTGTCTGAAGCTACTATTTTCTTTCAAAGTTTGATGTTATGAAAGATCATCTACCTCATTAAGAATTGTCTCTCTGGGGAGGAAAGGGTTTGATGGAAAGACAATTTGAGATTTCGTATAATACAGATACAATGTTAGTCTAGCATGTTGTCGTGCAACTTGAGCAGGAATTGTTTAAAAAGGTTAGCTAGCAAATTTATGCAGTAGTAGTTTATTTCTAAGCAGAGATCTAATTTTATTTTTCAGCATACTCTGAAGTAGATTGCTACAAGCAAATTAAAGTCAATTTTGCTCTTGAATCTTACAAATTCTTATCTGGCTGTCTGTAGTGTGACCCTCATTACTTGTGTGTAGTAAAAGCAAAATCTACCACATTTTATCATAGGGTGTATCATTGAAGACCATGCTAGCTGTGAATGCACCCTCAATATCCCTTTGCCCAAAGTATTTGTCTTCTGTCTGTTGATCCCATCTCTGGGCCACAGCTACGCATTAATCTGAAGTTTAAGGGTATTATGTTTGTGTTTCATTTGGCAATTAGGTGTGCGGACCACAATGGATGATTTTCGAAGGCTGCCATTCTGACAGCTTGAAAGTCATCAAAGATTTGCTACTGAAACTATGCAGCTCACTGTCCTTACTGTTGTTCCAAGAGCAGGTAAAATTTATTTTGGAAATATAATAGCTCATATGAAGGATGTTAAACATAATCCTGTTAAATAAGTTATTGTTTCCATTTTAACTTGCCTTCTTACCATTAAAATTACCTGATAGAATTATGTAGTATGTTGTAAAGTAAATATTTTAAATAATGTTTTGTCTCAACCAAGTGTTAATTGACTCAAAAATATTTTTGCTCTGATTTCCTGTGCTTCATGTTGAACAAGTGATAAGCTGGCCTTTCACATTAATGGGGGATTAATACAATAATAAGAGCGCACTGCAATTACTGTATATTGGGAGCACTGAAACATATGTAAGCTGGTCCTGAAATGGTCGGCTATGCTAATTATGATGTGGTTACTACAGGGAAGTTGCTGCTTGTGCACTTTTCATTACACTACATTGCTGTATGATCATGATTGAATTCTCTCAATCTCTCTTTAATATAGGTGGTATGTATCTGTTGGACATACTGTGGTTGAAAATGCCATAAGCATCAATGAGACACTGTTGTATGACCATGACCTGCCACTTATATCATTAAAACAAAACTGTCAAAAGTATTTGGTGTTGTCACTGGCTTATTTTATCCTTACTTCCCTCATATGCTCCTACCAATTAGATGATTCTATCACGCACTTTAAACAGTGAAAAGACAAAGCCGAAAATGTGAAAACGAAACAGTTAGAAAAGTATTTCAGCTTCGAAAATTTGATGGGAGTGCGCGTTTTCTCGCGCAGCTTGTCCGGTTGCCAAGGCTCGCAGATCGCGGGCTCAGCTCGGAGCGTGGCGGGGGCCGGCGGGGCGCGTCACTGCCTCTGACCCCAGCCGAGCCATCCCGGGCACCGTCTCGCATCGGCACATGCAGCCCCAGTCGCCGGCCGACCTCCACCGAAACCGTCATGGGGTGGCCACGCCAGCTACGCCGTCAAAGCGCGCGCTCGGCGCCGGTGTCCACCACGGTGTCCGCCCTGCTGCTGGTGCTGCTCGCCGCCCTGCCCCTCCACCTGCTGCAGGGGGTGCAGGCCGCGCCAAGCCAAGCCGCTGTCCCCGTCGGATCCCCGCCGGACCATGGTGAGTGGGGAACGGAAGTGGTGTCTGGCCTGGCGTCCCTGGCGCCTGGCGCTCGCCCTGCCAAATCACTTGGTGGCGACCAACAGGGGCGCCGACTCGAGCGCAATGGAATCCTCATTGCTTTTCGCAGGGACCCCACTTTCCCGCGCCGGGAGGGCTGATGACGTCATCGCTAGCTCGACGGACACCGTCAGTGTCGCAGACCTTCCCGGCCTGGCACCGACAGGAACCAACGCCCCCGACGCCAATGCAGGTACGTGCTGACCGGGGTACTTTGTACTTCCACCGGGCCGGGTTCGAGTGCCACCTCAACTCACCTACTCACAACTCGAGACAAATCACTGCCAATTCATTAGGAAGTTTCCTTGCCACTCAATTAGCGCACCAGCAACCGAAAAAAAAAATACACTTAGACGGCACTAACTTTTTATCGGCGACTTTCCAGGGAATGCAGCGGATGTTTACGATGGCCTGGACTTCACCATACCGGAGAATGGAACGCTTACTATGGATGGTCTGGATTTCTCCATTCCTGAGAATGGAACGCTTACTGACGATGGCTTAGACTTCTCCATACCAGGTAAATAACGCACCTATGACCAGCCGATCGGAAGGTCACTCCAAACCGTACTGACTAATGTTACCTTTTGGCAGCAGACCCATTAAGTAAAGACGAGCAGGACGTCGTTGATTTGGTCGCCGACCCAGAAGACAAGCATTCAAAGAAGGATAGGAAAAAGAAAAAGAAGGAAAAGGAAGAAGAAGAAGAAGAAAGGGAAAGGGAACGGAAGAGGCAGAAAAAACTAGAAAAGGAACGAAAAAAGGCAGAAAAGGAAAAGGAAAGGCTGGAAAAGGAAAGGCTGGAAAAGGAAAGGCTGGAAAAGGAAAGGCTGGAAAAGGAAAGGCTGGAAAAGGATTCGTCTCACCAGTCTTCTGAAGGAGCCAAAGAGGCCTCTGTGACCCACCAGTCTGCCGAGTCCTCCAAGGAGGGAAAGTCCTACGAATCCACTGACGACCTCAAGGAGAACACTGACACCCAGACGGAGTCCCCCATTGACGAGGCCAAGGAGAACACTGACACTCACAAGACCGTTCCCGGCCGCCAGGACGACACCGAGTCTCAGCACGTCGACGGATCCGCAAGCCCCGCCGTGCCGTCTGTGCCCGTGGAGCCTCCCTCCGAGCAGCCCTCGACCGCCGACGCCGACGCCGCTCGCGCGCCGGAGAAGGCGGATGAGGCTGTCGCCGCCAAGGCGGTGCAGTCCAGTTTCGAAGTGAACCTGACCGGCGAACCGCAGTTGACCTACCGCAACGCTGCCCCCGCTGCGCCCGCCGGGCCTGCCGCCGGGGCTGCGGGCGTAGCCGCTTCGGGGTGGCAGCAGAGTACGTCCTGGAAGCCACAGCAGAGTGCCGCGGGCCCTCAGGACAACGTCGGCAACGTGCTCGGCCAGCCCCGCAGTGCGGGCGGGGCCATCCCCCAGGGCCAGGCCGCCCCTCAGGGCCAGGCTTACCCCCAGGGCCAGACCTACCCCCAGAGCCAGGCCTACCCCCAGGGCCAGGCCTACCCCCAGAGCCAGGCCTACCCCCAGGGCCAGGCCTACCCCCAGAGCCAGGCCTCCCCTCAGGGCCAGGCCTCCCCTCAGGGCCAGACCGCGACTACCACACAGTAAGTAGCCTTTAGGGGGCTAGCTCCACCAGGGTTCCCGTCTTCACGAAGTGCTCGCGATTGTTGCAGGGAGCGCGCCGCGTCCCCTGAACCCGCCAGCATGCGCGACAAGGTGCTCTCGCGCTACATGAACGACGTGCACCAGTTCTCCGACACCAAGGCCTTGCTCGAGAAGGTCAAGTCCGGCGAGCCCCTGCCCGCCCAGGACTACCAGGGAGTCCGAGTCAACTTCAAGTGAGCTTCCGTTTAGGAATACTTTTCGCTCTTGACGTGTCCTACGGGGTGTTTGACGGCACCTGCTATTGACTTTTCCTTTTTCCGTCCTACAGGGTGACTGGATTCGATGGCAAGCCTGTGGTGACGCCGGCTCCTTGGACAAGTGCCTATATCTTACCTCCGGGATCCGCCACCTTCGGAGCCCAACCTGTCGGCCCCACGACCTACGCAGCACCAGCTGTCGGCTCCACCACCTACAGTACACTAGCTGCGGGCCCCACCACCTACGGTACACTAGCTGCGGGCCCCACCAACTACGGAGGACTTCCTGGCAGGCCGACCACCTACGTAGCACAGCCTACTGGACCGACGACCTATGGAGCACCAGCTGCCGGGGCCACCACCTACTCGGCGCCGGTCGTAACCGTCACCTCCTTCGTGACGCCCTCCGCCGGCAGCTACGGGTCCGCTTCGGCCGCCCCCGCTGCAATCTACAACCCCTCCGTCCCGATCACCACCTACGTGGGCCCTGCCGCCGGCCAGAGTGCCGCCGCCCTCAGCGTCAGCACCCCGGCCAGCGCCGCCCCCGACAGCGCCGCCCCCGCCGCAAAGCCCCTCTACTTCGTCCACTTCCAGGGCCGCCACTGGCCCGTGTACGCCAGCACCGCGGAGGCCACCGCCGCCATGGGCAACGTCCAGCTTCTGAGGCTGCAAGAGGAGCAGCAGGAGCAGTTGCAAATCGAGGAACAGAAAAAGAAACTGCAAGAAGAACGAGAGCTGCAGCTGCTTCGGGAAGAGGAAGGAAAGAGATTGCAGCAAGAAAGAGACCAGCAGCTGCAGCTGGAGGAGCAGCAGAGGAAGCTGCGTGATCAGAAGGAGCTGGAGTTGAAAGCAACGATCAAACGGATTCAGGAGCAACTGGAAAAATTTGAGGCTGATCAAGAGCATGAGCGCCAGCTGCAGCAGCAGGCAGAGGATCGCCGGCTGAAGATGGAGGAGGATCTGCGACAGCTGCATCTGCAGGAGGAGCAGCTCGCTGAAGAGCGGCGGAAACAGGATCGCGATCGCCAGCTCCTCCAAGAGGAGCGAGAACGCCTCCATAAGGAGCAGGAACACGACCGCCAGCTGAAGTGGCAGGAGGAGCAGAAGCAGCTCCAGGTGGAAAAGTTGCTTCAAAAGCAGCAGCAGATTAAAGAGCAGCCGCAGGACCAGCAGCAGGCTCTTTTGGACCTTCGGCTGGGGCAGCAACAGGTCCTGCTGCACAGGCAGGGCGTGCAGGGCAGCCCCGCCGTCAACACGCAGGTGCCTGCCGTCGAGCAGAACCAGGCCAACGCTCAGGCCAAGACGCTACAGCCGTTCTCTACCTCGTCGACCCTCATGCAGGTGCCTTCCGCTGGCTTCTCGCTGGACAGCTACTCCACCCTGCCCGGAGGCACCGTCAGCGTGGGCCCCAGCAGCCCCTACACCGCCAGCGCCAGCAGCCCCTACATCGCCGACCCCGGCCAGGTGTACAGTGCGGCCAGCGGTGGCAACCCCGCCTCCTACCAGCTGGTCTTCCCTGGCCTGAGCGGCGCGATGGTGCGGCCCGGCGCGCTGGACGTCTCCAAGACCCTGCACCTGGGCTCTCGCCCCGGCCAGCAGCAGCAGGCCTGGGAGACATCGCAGACCGTCCCCGAGACTTCGTCTCAGCCTTACACCGTCTCCGTCTTCGCCTCACACAAGCCCTGAGCGAGAGTAATCGCAAAAATAAAAATTCAGAGAGCATAACACGTGTCGCATTTATTTTCCCCCTTTCCGATCGACTTTTGGCTTTATCGCCGTGCTGAGTGGAGGTTTCGCGTTCGCCCCGAAATCTTCCGAACGCGATATCTTCACGGCATGCACCCGCATGCGGCGTCGGCAGCGAGCCGCTGCGATGCGAGCGTGCAGTGCAGTGTGGGCAATTCCGCGCCTCGTTTCGAAAAAGCACGCGTCGAGTACAAGGAGCTATTCGCAGTCGGACACTGCGAATAGACCACAGCGTATACGCAGAACTCAAACAAATGACAGGAGCTGTCTCGACAGCCATCTTTGTTATTCTCACTCTCCAGGGAGGCGTATCATCGCAAAAAGAAATCCGGTTTCTTTGTGATTGAATAGTTAAGCTGGTGTTGAGAATCGCCGCGCTAGGTACAGCTGGTTTCTGCGGTTCGGTAATCTTGTCAGCCTTTGCTTGCACACTGTCAAAATACTCGATCTGGAAAACATAACCTCTTCCGTCATCTCTTTGTTGTTTAGAACCTCGTCAGTTTCCATGCCTTTCTTTCTAAACCCCTCTTGACTTTATGCTGATTGTTATCACAGGTAGCACCTTTTCCACGATGTTGTCGGTCGACCGAATTCCTGACCAAGTCGGTTATCTCGTCATGACAGAGGATGGCGCTGTAGTATCTGTAAGTATACCAATGATAATTTTCTGTGCGTGCCACTTACCAGCTTGCTGTTTTTACCTATCGTATTCATTCATTCAATAACAGTCTGGTGGAGAACTGGAGAATGGGGAACGGATTGCTAACGTCGTCGCAGGGCTCATTTCCTTGTGTGACAAGGTCGATTCAACAGCATTCCCTGGAGACAAAGGATTCAAGAAAATAACCGGTGAGGAATGAAGTAATTTGTGTGTGGGAAAGTGATTCTCAAATATGAACCATTTAATTGAACTTTTATTCTCTTAACAGTGAACTATGAAGATCATGCATACGTCATTTGCCTGTCCAACAAGAAGGTTTACGTTGTGAAGAGGAAGACAAGTCCACAGCCACCTATGGAAACAGATCTATCATCAAACATAAGTTGATGCGCTGTAAACTAAATCTCAAACATATTGAAGGGATGGACGAACTGAAATGTATCTGTGATTATGTATCATATAATATTTTTGTATGCCAGTTCAGTTTACAGAAACTTATTGACAGTATATAGAATTGTTAATGTTTGCAGGAATAGTAGAGTTTTAACCTATATCCTATAAATTTTAAAGTGATTCCCTTACAAACACTATATTCATCAAATCATTTTATTGTACCATGAAGGTTTCTTTGTTTTAAGTTTTGTCTTGGTTAATTTGTAATTTCTTCCATTGTACGAAATAAATAGTACAAGTTAAATGAGAAATAAGTGGTTATTATCCTTACACCCAGCTAGAATCACTTTACAAGCAGACCAGAAAACAATCACCCATTCATTTCTTGAAAAAACAGTTTTTCCAATACTTTCAGTGGTGGATCCAGATGGGCTGGGAGAAGTTAAGTAGTACCGCTTGGCTTCCAAGAGGGGCAAAGTAGTACCTTTTGGCTTCTCAGAGGGGTAAAGTTAGCACGTTTTGACTAATCACAGAGGCAAAGTGTGGCTTTTTGCCTACTTGCAGGAGTGAAAAGTGGCTTTTTGACTACCTCTCTGGTGATTGCGATTAATGACTGGCTATCTAATAGGCAGTTGTCCTTTGCACCCCTCTCTGGATCAGCACTAGCTGTATTTTCAACTATATCACTGACGAGCATAAGGCTCTCGCTACAGGCAGAGAAACGCCGCGTATTTCGAAAATTCGAAGCCGGCGCCCACCGCGCGCTTCGCAGTTCCCCGACGCACCGCAGGATGGCGCTGGCGTCGCACTGGATCCGTGTGGAGTGAGTGGAACCAGCGGAGCGGGCGGGTCCCGCGATGCGAGCCGAGCCACTACACTGCTGTTTCAGTCGCTCTTCGAGTCCCGGCCGGTGCGGTCCGGCGTCGCGGTGTCATGTCGTAGCCCACGTCGCGGCGTCGCGGAAAGCGCGGGTGTGGGTCCGGGTACCGCAGGGTGCGCAGGGTCCGCAGGGCACCCAGGGGGCGTCGGCCCGGGACAGCCTGCGGGGCAGCCTGCTGGACAAGGCCGGCGCGAGCCTCTTGGTCGTTCCCCAGCGCGCGCCGCGTGTCGCGCGACTCACTGTCGGAGTGCTGTGTTGACGACAGGGGCTCCCTGTCGCCGATCGCGTTCAGTCGGATACCTTGGACTTTTGCAAACGGAAGGATAACATTTATTTGAGCCATGACATCCAACGGATTCCACGCGATGGGTGAGTGGCAGTGTGGTCGCGCTGGGGTGGCTCCGCGCGGGCCCAGGCCTCGGCCCTCGGCCCAGCGCGCTGGGGGCGTGTAGCGTAGGGGAGGCTGAAATTCGGGGTGGGGTTGCGCGGAAGTACTCGACACGCGGGGCGCGCGGGGTGGGGGTTCATTCAGCGCTTCAGCGGCCTTAGCGCCCCGAAAACGGTAGCGAGGCCTTGTCACCGCGTCTCGCAGGACCCTCCAGGACCTGCTTCCAGGACTCGGCCCGCACAGCATCCACAGAGCCTCGGCGGCGCCCAAGGCGACGCCCTGCTTCTCGCGAAAGTAGATCCTTGTTTTGGCGCTTTGGGCCCTGAACCGTCCGCTCGACGCTCCCCCCCCCGCACTGTCTGCACAGGTGTCTCGCAGCCCCCTCGACCTGCAACTCGGCCTGCACCGCCTCGACGGCGTGCGCCAGTCTAAAGGATGATCGTCGCTCGCGCGCCCCGACGAGACACCTCATGAGTGCGAGAGAGACAGAGCGACAGCGTGCGCGTGGCCCAGGGGCTGGTACACCGTGTGGCACTTCCGGACCCTCGGCGACACGTGCGGTTCGCGGTGCGGCGCGGTGCTGCCGAGTGATCCAGGCGAGTCGTCTCGTCGCTCTGTCTCTGTCGCACTCATGGGGCTCTCCACAAGAGACAGAGCAACCACACTGCTCTTCCAAATCGCTCCGCTGGTGTCAACACCCTCACGCCCGAGTCGTCCTCTGCGTCCGCCCCTACACCGGAAAAGGTGTCTGCACACACAGTGCGTAAATGCACGCGGAAAGACGAGCCTGGAGGAAGTGGGGGGGGGGGGTGCTTTGAACTGGCTGTTGTTGGTGTGGGCCGTGTGGGCGGGGTGCTGGGGGTGGTGCGAGCGGTGCGAGCGCGTAGCGGAGGGAGAGAGAAAGAGAGAGAGAGAGGGAGGGAGACTGGGCGGCAGCGCCGCGGCGAAGACGAAGGCAGCGCACTTGGGGTGCGGGGCAGTGCCGCGCCGTGCCGCCGGCAGCAGTGCGGGGGTGATATCGACCGCTCGATGCATGTGGAGTAATAACCCCTCTGCAACCTCCCCTCCCCGCTCCGTCCCTCTGCTGGCTTGCGGGCCGGGCCGGGCTGGGCCGGGCCGGGCCGGGCGCACGGATTAGGGGTGTGCCAGCGGGGCGGGGCGGGGCGGGGCGGGGCCGTCTCCGAGGGTTGCAATGGTGGGGTGCAGCTGGGCGGGGCGGGGCGGGGCGGGGCTGGGGGAGGGGGAGGGGCGAGGCGACGAAGGGTTGTCCCGTCTCTGCCGTGGGGGGTCCATTTCCTTCCGATGTGTTTACTCTGCAAGGCGTGGCGGCCGAGCGGTCGAGCACCGTCCGCCAAGGTGTGGCTGGGGGATGATTCAGCGACGGCGAGTTCCCGTTAGAGGAAACAGGATGCTGTGTCCGATAAAACCTGGTTGGGTTCGAACCCAAGTTTTCCGTGAAGAAACCCACACAACGCTATAAAAAAACCTTTTGTTATTGTTGTTTTTCTTTTGCCAGCCGTAATGAGATCCTGCCGGTAACGGTTCCGATCAGCTGATTGAGTTGAAAGTCCTCCAGGCGGCTGCAGCGCTGGGGTCCCGGAGTGCAAGGCATGGCAAGGCACTAGCGAGGTGTGAGGCTGCGTAATCTAACGAAGGCATCTCGGGGGCGCGGTGTCGTGCGGTGCAGTGAACGCAGCGAGTGCGCTGCTAAAGGCGAGGCCTGGTCGTGCTGGGCGTGGCGCGGCGCGGCACAGTTTACTGAGTTTGCATCATCGGCGACACGATGAGGCTCTGAGGCGAGGCGGCCCGGCGGTTCGCGGCGTGGCGGCGCGGGCCCTGCACCCCGTCACCTACCCCCACCTACCCCCACCTCCCCCACCCCTCGGCCAGGCCGCCGGCACCACAGGCCGGCACTGCCGCCAGGCCATACAGAAACTGGTTTCGCGCCTCGTGCGGGAGGCTCGCGCGTCGCGCGCGCTGGGTCCTGGAGTCCTGGAGTCCTGAAGTCCCTGGAGTCCTGGAGTCCTGAAGTCCCTGGAGTCCTGGAGTCCTGGAGTCCCGGCTGGCGGGGCGGGGCCGTTTGCGCGCAGTGTCTCCGGGACCCCGGCCATCTGATGGCAAGTTCCAAGAACGCGCTAAAAAGAGAACAAACCCAAACATCAAAAATAAGTAACGTTTTTGTTAGAGTAGTCTTGTTGCCACACTGCCATTTGCCATCCAGGCCCGTTGCAGACATTGGGACGGCACTGCCCGCCAACCCCAATTCCGGTGACGTCCACACACGGCGATTCCGAAGAGTCGTTCCGTCGTCGCTCTCTGTCGCACTCAAGGCGCGCTCCGTGGGGGTGCGAGAGAGACAGAGCGGCGTAACGGGTGGCCCAGCGGTGCCACGCCCCCGAGGAAATCCCTCAGAGCACGTCGGAAATTCCCCACGGCGCGGCGCAGCGACGTGTCCTGGTGTGTCGCCTTGCCGTCGGCCGTGTCGCCGTGTCGCCCCGCGCTGCAGAACTCACATTCATGAGAGTGACAGCGGCAGGGTCGAATGCACCGCAGCGCCCGAAATGCGGGGCAGCAAGCGCGAAATGCCTTCGGACGCGAGATGGGGCTGATTGGACATGAGACGAGTTTGGCGTGACACATTTCTGAAATTGTTGCACTGCTGTCTGCGGGCTGACGGGCGGGCGGACAGACAGAAAGCAGGCAGACAGACAGACAGGCAGCAGAGACATACACGTTTACGTCCCGCGTCGGCGGGACGGTGGCCTTTGTCGCACCTCGGCGCCAGCCGCGCCAGCAGACAGAGTCGCTTTCGTAGCCGTGTCTCTCTCTCGCACCCGTACGGGACGCCCCATGAGTGTGACAGAGACAGAGCGGCGAAAACGACTCTCGGAATCAGTCGACAGCGCGCCAGCCTGGAGCCGTCGTTCCCATGCGTACCACGACACACTCACTGCTGGAACGGCTTGAGGACGGAGACGGATTCCGAACAGCCTTACGGTGTCGTCGCTCTGTCTCTCTCGCACGCCTGCGGGACACGCCAAGAGTGCGAGAGAGACAGAGCGACGGTGACGGACGGGCTCGACGGCGTCGTCCGCGTGGGCGGTTCTGAGAGAGTGGCGGCCGAGGAAGCAACCACTCCACTGTGCAGTGCGAGAGTGCATCGCGACGCGACCAGTGTAGTGTCCCTTTCGTTCCCATTTTGGTGGTCTTTGCCACGTCACTGTGAGCAACGCCACGCGCCACACACGCGCCTCGCAGCGGGCCCAAAAGCCGGCTAGGCCCCAGGTGCAGCGTAGCAGCGCACGGGGCACTTCTTGAATTGAATATGGCCCCCCCTTCCCCCTCCCCCCCCCCCTTCGCCAGCCCAGCCATTCCGTGCGGCGTCGTGTGGCGGCTACAAACAGCTGAGCGAGCGCTGCGCCCTGTAGGCCGGCCGCCCTCGTCGCTCTGTCTCTCTCGCACCCCTCCACAACGTCGCGTGAGTGCGAGAGAGACAGAGCGACGATACACTGTTCGGAATCGGCCGGCGGCCACCGCCCTGGCCACGGCGCCACGGCCACCGGTTTATTATTTAAACGCTGCAGCGACAGGGCCGCACGCGCGCGCTCGCCGGCGCCACGCGTCTGGCGGCACACGTGCTGTCTCTCTCGCACTCACGGGGCGCCCCGTAGAGGTGCGAGGGAGACAGCACGCACTGGGCACTGGCGAGTGCACGAGCCTTGTTGCCACCATCGGCGATCGGGCACTGCACTGCATTCATTATACACTGCACCACAAAATCCGCGTCCTGCTCTCAAGTACCACACAAGTACAGTTCGTCGGCCTCCAGCGCTGTCGCTCTGTCTCTCTCGCACTCAGGAGCCGTCCCGCGGGGGTGCGAGAGAGACAGCCCGCCGGATGCGGGTCCCCGGAAGCGACCTGACCTAGGCCAACGCGCTAACGCCAACCTAGGCACGTGTGAGGGAGTTTGTGCGAGTGTGCGTCCGGATATCGCCCATCGCGGACACGGTTTATGGCCACGCCGCCACCCGCCACGCGACTCAACTTGGGGTAGGCCCAGGGCCCACCCAGGGCCCGGCCGGCCGGGTTTTGAGCGACTAGCCTTATCTATGATCTCGTGTTGCTCGTGTTGCGCTGGCCCTAGACGGGCCGGGGCTCGATTCTGAACAGTGCTTCGTCGCTGTGTCTCCTTGGCTTCGGGGGCGATTGCGTTCCAGCTTCTCTTTCCGCTCTTCTCAAAATCTTGCTCCGTTTTCTTCGGCCAGACGCACCCCGGGCCCCGGGCCGCGTGCACCGTGCACCCTACTCGGGCTGGCGGCGGCCGCCTGGGCGGCTGCCTGGGTGTTTATTGTCCTGGACGCCTGCTCTCCTGCTTTCTTCTCCTTCTCCGCAGATCGGTGTAGGTAGAGGCCGCGTCCGAGGCGGGGGCCCTGCAGCTGGAGCGTGCTGGAGCGTGCTGGAGCGGCCCGGAGACATGGGGCCGCCTCGGAGGCAGCCGGACTTGATCCGGGCGGAGACAGTGCAGGTGCAGGGTAGGGCCCAGTAGGGCCCGGACCTGCTTCCAGGGGGAGGGGGGCCTGGCACATGGCACGCGGCACACGGCGGGCACCTGGTGTCCCCCCCCTCCCCCTCCTCCACCGCCAGCACCTGCACGTGGCACACAGCCATGATAACGGGGGGAAGGGGTCAGCCGAAGGATCTTTTCATCGCTCTGTCTCTCTTGCACCCCTACGGCACGCCCCGTGAGTGCGACAGAGACAGAGGGATGGAGCGTCAGGCCCAACCCAAGGAGCTGCTCGTGGAACACGCCCGGCACGCCAAGACGCTACCGGTGGCGCGGCTGGGATGGCGATGTGTGAGGCCACTGTAAGGGCCGACGGGGCTGATTGATCGCCGAGATGAAACACCAACACAGTTGCTTTTGTTTCGTGTAGTTCGCGCAGACTTTCGCCGATAATCGGGCAATCTACAACAGGCTCGA